GATTTACGTTTATCCCAGCGATAAACTTTACCGCGATGGCTTCAATTTAAAACGCTTTTTACCTTGTACTGGAAACTCATCGTCTTACCGTGGATGAACGAGCGTTAAGAAGGCCACCTACAGAAATCGTTATCGATAATCCCCGTGGGTCGACTTTCAGCGCGTGAATGCGTGGATTTTGCGTACACTTTAAGACAAGGATAACCATTAATCATGATTCCCATGGAAGTCGCAACTTTTTATACGGTTTCTCGAAGAATGAAGAAAGATGGTGAGGGGAAAAATGACAACATAAATCTTATTCGGTGCATGTCGCATAATCTGTGACCGAATACGCTGTTGTACGGGATATCGGGAATATTTCTTGCGTTGCATATAAACACGAGAATAGTACATACGGCAAATGTAATTGTACATGTAAAATGTAACGGAATAATTTAATTCTACGATAAGAGAATAATTAGGAGACTTGTCGTTTCGTCTTCTTCGATAGATTTAAATTGCTCAGATTTTTATTTGTCCCATCGCGTACATTTTAATTTCTATACGAAACAAATACAGTGGCTACGAAATATATTTACACGTCGTTGTATTTATTGTGACGTTTGCGTACTAATTAATTAGATCCGCCTTTATTAAATTTCGTATCATTCTGTATCATTTCCCTTTTTTTTTTTTTTTGTATCTATTTTTTGACGATGAAGAATAAAACGAAACCGATGAAAACACTCGATTGGAAAACGGAGGCACGCGTAAATACTTTTCATCGATTAAAGAATACTTAGGTAAATCAACGGTTGGAAAATATTTTCACATGGATTTCCATGGAAATACCTAAATTTATACAATCCGATGGATCTCTCTAAATAACCGAAGAACGGAAATTAATTCACGAAAGAAAAAACATTCACCAACGCTAATATTATGTTCCCTTTATTTGCCATCCATTTCTTTATTAATATCCTGCTAGAAATTCTGTTCTTCGTAAAATTGATAAAGTTCGTGTATCCTGTTAATAAAATAAACTAAAACTGTTACGCGAAGAATTTAAAAGGGGCACGAGAGGTAAACCATTAATGACGAAATATAGCGAATTTGTGACTTAAATCTGACGATCGTTGGTATCGTACGATGGAATCACGTAATCTACGTGCCAGGCGAGTTATGAAGGAAATTTTCCCGGTAGAAGTTGGCGATACGCGGATGCAACAACAAGGAAGGCCAGCTATTGACCAACGATATAGCGATTCTCGATCCAGATGCCAAGATAAACCGATTAAGGAGATCCTATCGATAAGTTTTGTAACCCACGTTGCATAGTCGGAAACTTTTCAGTCGAGATGTCACGTAGAAATCGACCCAGGCAGCTTTCGATTTTTGCATGTCTACCATATATGATGTTGACGTCGAATAAGAAACGATATATCGTAATCATTATCCTTTATAATTATTACTGATTATAATAATTATTATACGTATAATTTTGTGTGTTAGACTAGATTAACCGAGTAGTAGTGACACACGTATGCGAATATGAGCGTATGGAAGTATGTATGTGCACAGCGTCTGGAAAAACAGATGAATGCAACTGTTTCGTTAGCGGTGTGGTATAGAAGATGCTGAGACGCGTGCAAATGTATTATATATCGACGAAGATCCTGAAAATCGTTTCTTAAATAAATCTAAAACAATTTAGTATGAATTCTAAGTGTAACCTTAGTGTTCCTTTACTTTTATTTCGACAATTAAGATCCACAATTCTCAACGATTATATTGACTGGTATTACATAATTACATCGATAAATAATAATAAAAATAATAATATGTACAAATATATTTCTTTCAAGGCTTTCTAGGAATTTTCCTGTTATCTTTTCAAAATCTAAACCCTTGGGTGCTCGTCGAAAATAACAAGAAAAAATATCTTGACTATTTTACAGTGCTGAATGTACCGATAGCTTGAAAAAATCAAAGTAGCCTTAAATCAAAATTACGATCAAACTTTCTTCGTCTTTGCTATTCGAACGAGGCCAGGTAAGAAAATACGCATGATATACTCATGAATAATAGTAACAGTCTCGTTATCGTGATCAAGCGTTTTCATTTTTAACGCGGTACACAATAATCGCCGATGAAAACAGGTTACGCTATCGCCAATTTATGAGATTTACAAGGGTGTATAAATCTTTTATCAACTTGGACTAAAGTGGATTTCTAAGTCCTGAAGAAGGGTAAAAGCTTCTCGAGCAAAGCTTCGTTCGAATTCGCGAAACACGAACAACTACCGTCGAATGTTTTCGTTTGTCACGCAGCCAGACATAGAAAGAAGTTTATGACGTGATATTTATAGAAATATATCTTAGCATTCCGTGTTTAGAAAATCATCTGTGATCGAAAATTTAAACGAATAAACGACTCGTTATAATTTTGTGTGCCGAATGCGAAATCTAACCAGTAAAAATAAACCAGAGTGATTTTGATAGCAATAAAATTGCCTATCTTTCAAAGAATACGACGATACAACGCGATGGTAGACAAATGAAATAAAAGCGAAACAGAGCAAGCCTATAGCTATGCAATTCGTATGTGACATGGTGTTGCAGAGGGGATTAAACGATGCTTAATTACAGCAAACTCGATACCGATAAGACCTAAACCAATGTTTTGTTACAAACTGGGAAATCTGTATTTTACGGGTACTGCCACGTTCCAACTGATCAGCCCGCTGTTCCAGGCATTTCATTAATATGCAGTTCGATTTTGACGTATCGTGCCCCTAATAATTGATACGTGTCAAAAAAAAAAGGACTTTGTATTTGAACGTGGAATAGGCGTATCGATAGCAAAGGTTATAGCGAATATAATTTCCTGCGAATATTTATAAAGTATAATGTTCTATGTATGAATAAAAGATAGAAAATATGTATCGTCAATTTCAAACGTTTACGTTTTACTGCACGCGCGATACGATGTTTTATCGGGCAGAATATACGACCGGATGAAAATGTTTAATTCGTTTCATCGTTCAGTGAAAGCCGATCAATGTCTATCGCGATGCTAAATCGCATACCGTATCGAAGCTAACGTTTAACGTTTCTTAATAAACTCCGTGTACATCACATGCGTAGGTAAATCGATATAAGGAAGAAACTGCGACGGAATTTTAATTCCCCTTGGAAGAACGGTCGCGTACGCACGACGCTGATTTTCCTAACATCGATACGATAAAGCGATACAACGTGAATGGTTTCCTCGTTATAAATAAAAATCCAATCTCGAAAGAAACGCGGCGTGCGCGCGGAGCAGAGCGAAGATAAAAATCGCGACGAATCTTCCGCTTCCCTTGCTTCTACGCCCGCCTTCGTCTGAAAATTCCTGTATCGATCGAAGGACTTTAAACGAGCTTTTAAACGGATGGACAGGCTCAACAGCTGCCAGAGGACCAAGTACGCGCGAGCGTGTCACGATCACCACGGACGCACCATGGAGAATAATTAGAAAAAGAGCAAGACGCGGAGAACGCGACAGAAGAAGAAAACACGCGGATCGGAGAAGCCTTGTTGCGGGTCGACGACCCGAAAACGTCCAGCGACGATTCGATCGTGAGATTAATCCGTCGAATGTAATTGGAAGGTCGCAAGCATGTCACAAGCTCGGAGATTTACGAGCACGTGTGTCCCACACAAGTGATTCGTGCTTTTGTTTTTGTAGAGAGAATGTTAGCCGTATACGACGAAAAAGACTATTTCGGGGTCGAAGGAACCACCGCGAAGTTTCAACGAATAATACCACGCGAGCGATACATTCAACCGGGATCGATCATCAATCTTCGTCAGCTTCGAACGCTCCTTTCGTTGGATCATCTCTGGCAAATATGCAGGAGATCGAGCGAGATTTGCGAGAGTTTCGTCGCGATTAAACGACCGGTGATATTTCATTTCGGCTGATAGATAAAACCAACGATCGGAATCATTTCCCCGTTTCCCGTTATACTGCGAGCCTCTAACTTTTGTAACTCGCGCTTTGAACGCTTTCGCTTTGGCCGTTTGCGATACGAGTTGTTTCCAGCAAAGGATCTAATTTCAATTAACGCTTTCGCTATCGGCATCCCTTTTTTCCGTTCGATGTTCATCGCAACGACGGCATTCGCTTACGCGAACTGATTTTTCCAAACTATTTTAAGACGTTTTCGCGTTAGCTATCTAATAGACGTAGAAATCAGTTGCTTCCGACGAATTTATTTTCATTTCGCCAAAAAATCGGGAAGAAGCTTGTCCCTATACTTAGTATACGCAATTGTGCTTCGTGAAAATTCAAAACACATAGCCATTCTATATTTTATTACGAAAGCATTTCCAAACGGAGAAATTCGAGTGGTTCGCTGTAATCGCCTATTCGCGTAAGAATTCTACTTTTAAATGAACGTTGATGACTCCAAGGGAAAAACACGATAAATCGCGCTTCTTATTTTCAGCGTGGAAGCAGATTTAAAGCTCGATACGTTGCCAATCTCGCGTTATCAAAGTTACCTGTATATTTGGTTGTTCCTCAATTCCAAAATTTTCAAAACGTTGCCGGTGGCAACAAATTTTTGAGATAGTCTCTTTGTAAAGCTAAGTTCGACGCTTGGACAAAGTATCGATTTTAACAAAGCAGAAACGTAGCTAGCGAAGAATAGAAACAAGAAGAGGGAAGAAAGAATTACACGCGGCGTTATCGTAAATTCCTGTAGGTTGCCGCAATGAATGCAAGTTGCAACTGGAAACGGATTACCGCGGCCGCAACGACAAAGCCCTCTTTTATTTGTAGTTTCCAACGTTGGCGCGTTGATCATCGGGACGATATCAAGTTGCTGGATCGGGTGTTGCGGCTTGGAAAGCTCCAGCTTACGAAGATTTTCCAGGACAATGAGGGCTTCGTAGGATCACCGCTTACGGCGTTGTAGTCGCCGGATCCATCGGAAGCACGTGGTGGTGGCAGAGGTCGCTTCTAAGACTTGCGAGCTTTCAAACTGCGAGCAGTCAGTCGCCAGCCGACCGAGCTGCACGAGTCGTGAGTTATGTTGTCGTGTTTTGTCGCAGGAGATATCGTCCTCGTAATACCGTGACAGCTTTTGAAACCGCGAACTGTGCATCGTTGTCGGTAAGTTTAACAACAAAAGTAAAACTTTATTCGTTGAATTGCCTGAACTTTGTCGGACGATTAAATTCAAATAATTTTGGTCGCACGAGAATCACTTCGTGACGGGAAAAATGTTACATTTCGTGTCTAGTTGATCGGAGAAATTCGTATTTTCCAGCGGCTTTTATTCGTAATTCGCTGGATGTGTTCGAGCTAAACGTTTACACGTAGAAATCGCCGGAATTAAAATTACACGGAGAAACGATCGGCTTCTTCTTTCGTAAATTAGCGCGACGGATGTCATTCAACCAACTTTTGGGAAAGTTTCCAACTTTTCGTATGGAGAACTTGTTTGCGCGGGAAAGCTGAGAGATTTTAAAGATAGCCATGCCCTGTCGTATTCGCTTAGAAAGTTTTAACTCCGGCGGAAGAATCGGAAGACTGAAGCTTCAGCGAACTTTCTTTTCGCGACTTACCCTTTCCACGCAATGCAAGTTTCTTTTTTTTTCATGAAACCATATCGATGGGTAATAGTATCGTAATAATATCGAAGAATTTATTAATTTCACCATCGTCTGTTTCGACAACATATAATCTCATCGTATCGACAGCGTCTAAAGAATTCTGCGAAGAATCAGCAGCGATAAACTAATCTCTGTCCGCGTACACGATCTTCTAAATATCTGGCGATAATTTAACCAACCAAGGACACGGTGTCTTAGCTAGAAATGTGAAGTTCTTGCATGTGGCCCACTTCGATGGCCAGAGACAATAGTTCAGCCGGCTGGATGTTCGAGTCTCGTTTGGCTGCTACAAGGAGACTCCGCTACCTCTCGTTACAATCGCAGTTTACATTCAACATGTATACGATAATATTCGTGCGGTGACCGTGCATCTTTCGCGGAGAGATCGATACGCGGCTCGAGTCCCTAGCGTTGACTAATTACGTGACTTCTTTTTGTTCGCGCGACGCTCGTTATGCGGTAGCTAATTAGTTTCCTGAACGGTGTCTGGGAAGAGAAAAAAGAAATGCTCGGGACATCTTAACTCGTGATAATTATGACGTATGTGGTGTCAGAGAGCTGGAGATTGAGAAAGCGGCGGAAAGACGCGGTGCGCGGCGAACGTTGACGCGGTTCATGAGCACGCGCCAACTTAAATAGAAACCTCGAAAACTCGTCTAACGACCGGTCGTCTCATCAAACACTTCAGTAAGCCTTGTCAAAGGCTACACGAGGCCAGCAACGACGCTATTCAATAACAACGCAGCTGGGCGCTCGTGAATTTAATCCTTCGTTGCCAGTCGCGATATTTCGAATAAAAGTGACGGCGGAAATGTGGTCTGAAAATTGCGCGCGTATCAGGAGGCGCAGCAACTCGCGAGATCTTTACGATAATTTCCTTGGCGCGATAAAGAAAGTTTCGATTGTCCTGATCGGGTCGTCCCGGCGCAGTTTAAACGGACTGCTTGACAAAGTTGCAACGATTGTTTGATTTCGATTTTCCTTTTTGCTTGTTTTCGCTTGCTCCTTGCTTTTGTTCCGCGGAATTGAATACGCCTGCGACTTGTTACGTTAGCGCGGATCTTGTTAGCGCGAAGAACTGCGACGGTACAGCGGATGAAATTGCGAACGTCGTTCGGACAATAATCGATGATTTTTGATCTTTGATTTTTCACCTTCACCTTTTTCTCTTACCGTTAATGTCAATCGTATATAAGTTAATCTTATTTTCTGTATTTTGTACTTGTGTTTTGTATTTTTGTATTCTGTAATTGTACTTTAGTCCGATAGTCCACGTCTTAAAACATACGCAGCAACGATGAGCAAAACCGGTACGCGACTTTGTAAATGACGAAAGAACGAAAAATAGTTACGTAACTTCAGAGACGTTTAATCAAATCCTTGTATCCTTTTATTCTCCTGTGTTCCTTATTCTAATAATTTCATCTTATTTCGTTCGAGGTTAAGAAAATTCGTGGTACGATGTTGATGGATAAGTTTGTGCAGTTTGATATGAAAGTGAAGTTTGATGTTTCTCGTTACTTACAGCGTATGTGCCATTTACTTTCAGGATGCGCAATATGCACAAATATTCAGCTAGGAACGAACATTACGCTAATATATTTGATACATCTCTCTAAGACATGTTTTTTGTCGCAAAAACCAACGGGCTATAATTCATCTGGTTACTCGTATTTTTCGGTAGTAGATCTTCGACATTTTATTGGACCTTTATTCCCTCGTAGATTCGCTTCTAAAGGACTCGTACAAAGAATAATTTATTAACCCGGAAATATGAATTACGCTATTACAAAGCTGTTCGCGGTATTAAACGCGATCTTTCATGCCTAGAACATTATGTTTCTCACGGCGTGAACGGAAAATTCCGTTAAAAAATTATTCTAACTCGTAAGACGCGTGACACCTTTTCCACAGCTTTCTTATAAAACTTTGTCATTTATTGGATTGACAACTAAATGATTGCAGATTTTGTCGATACCACCTAATGACACAATCCGCAATCGCTTAGTTGCCGATCCAATATATCCTACCGGAAATATGCGAAAGAACGTGATCGGTACGAAAGACGAACGCGTCGTTAAGAATGGTCCGTGAACACAAACCATAGAAGTTTGTTGCGAGCTACTAGGCTGGGTCGTTCGATAATCCATACACATTTTCATATAGCTGATATCGAATTCGGATATCCTGATTATCCGCGCGAATTCGCGGCCTAAAAATTATCGTTCGTCGAAGCTCGAAAAATCTAGAAATAGAGAGAGAGACGGAGAGCGAGAGAGGGGCACTTAGGTTCGATAGAATGGCCGCAATTTGAAAACCACCTCATTAAAATTCCTTTTTTTTCCCCGAAGAACAAAAGGTATTTTTCATTACGTGTTCGATACGTGCACGGTGTCGAAATTGAATCTTCGTCTAAAACGTCGTACGTTCGCTCGGGATTACCATAGAATTAGAGTTCGATAGACTTCGACAAAGTTTCTGAAAAACAAGGCCAGCAATTTCCTTCTCCGCCGGATAAAATGCCAGCGCTCTCTTCCGTTTATAAAGCTTTTCACGATGTTCGAGAACATCCACAAACAGAATTCAATTCACCCTTCAGAAGCAATTTGTCGCATAAACACGGAAACGGAAATAGAGAAGATCGGAGATGGGTCGACGATGACCCCGCTTTCTGTCCCCGGGCAAATGTAAATCGCCACCACGTTGCAACGAACCGCCAACCATTCGGCATTTTCTTAACGTTCCTGACAGGATGTCGCGCCTTTGCCAGATTCCCAGTATGCAGAATGCTAATTGTTCCTTTAACAAAGGCTGCAAGCTCGTGCCGTTCCGCTTCCATGCTTGTCCATTCCAGGTTACCACCGACCTGAGAATAGCTTCTGCGTCGAGAGTCGCTTCTCCTTAGCTCCTCTCGTATCCTTTCGTGGCAATTTGCACGTGAAATATTTCGTCCGCGAACGATCGACGCGTTATTCCATGGTTTAATTCATCGAAGCATCGAAGAATTTTTTTATATGCGTATCTTCAAGTAATATCGTCGGACTACGGATTTTTACGCGTTTACGTGCGTTTAAAGGTTGAAAAACGCACAGAATGCGCGTAATGTGGCAAAATATGCGAAATATGCAACGCGTAGTATACTTGTTACGATATTCGGTGTGGAAGACAAACTTCTGTCTGGATTTCATCTTTTTTAATTACATTCGTAAAAAAGATATGAACTCGCGGAAATTCTATCGCATAAATTGCACGCTCTAATTGTGATCAACAAACGACGGATGCATCTAATTCCTTTTGATACATGTATATAAATCGTTACTATGAAAAAATATAAGAATAGAATAAAATTGAATGAAATATTGGATAAAAATATACCCTTTTGTCTCGTGGATCTTCTGTTCGAAAATTCTTTGATATTCTATTTGGAACGGTACAATGGAAAACTTCCGGAATCCGCGTAATTTTCCCGTACGTGGTTAAACTTACAGCGATTCCGCGATCAAAATCCGCATGTAATATTAATAGGGTCTTTTTAATAAGCCGCTAATAGCGAATGTAGTTTTTGAAAATATTCCACCAAACTTTCGCATCGTTAAAATTGCAAAATGTGTTATAATAGAGGACGAAGAATTTTTTAAACGTTCGAGAATTATAAAGTTAAATTATGTTAAAGAACGTTTCACAGGACTATTAATTACAAAAATAAAAAGGTGGTAAGATTGAGCTATATTTCTGCTAACAGCGCTGACTTGCAGCTTTCCGCGTTTAGCATATGAAGACGATAAAATACTACATATACGTATACATGTACATGCATATACATGTACATATACATATACAAATATATGAGAGCACAGCGCAGTTAACATTGTTACTGAAATCGCATCCTGAATTTTTCAAACAAATTTCCTAGAAAATGGAATTTCTTACCGAGTGATTCGACTTTCCATATGAATCAGCCAGGTAAAATTATCATAAGCATCTAATTAGGAAGTGGATTATAAAAAAAACTACTATGTAAATGTAATTATTCAGCCATGGAAATTCGAAGGATCGAGATATCTAAATTTCACAGGTCTCGAGTGCTCCCGCAAGTGATCAATCGATTCGAGCCATTATCTCCAAGTTATATACTAAAATTATAGTTCACACGCTTTATGTCGAAACTTTATGCCAATTTCTTCGATCGATCGTAAATTCGATCGATAATCTCATTGCACGTGAAATTTTCAAGTACGCGGTTTAAACGATCGGCAAATCGAAACGATATGAACGAAGGAAATCAGGTTCCTTTGCGTCGATCGTCCGAGTTTCAACTATATGTTTCTTCTTTTTTCCCCGTATCCTTTCGAAGGAAGTCGAGAAATTTGAATGTCACGAACCGTTCTGAAAAATGATGGCGCGGTGAACTGGTCGATCCTTTGACACGCGAGCCTCGCGTTTCATCTGGAACGCGACGCTGATTTCAATAAGACTTTATGAGTTTTATGGTCGAGG